TGGATACTATTATTGTAACTATTATTACTAGACCCACAGAGCCCTGTGGTGCACGGGCACTCCCAGCTTGCTCACCAGCTGGTAGTTTGAATCTATCAGTAGCTGCCTGGGGAGAAAAGCTTTGGGGGTTTCCTTTCCTGAAGATTGTGGTTGCTGCTGGAACGTTGGTTCTATTCATGGAAACGCTGTGCACAGCTGAAACAAGCACTGTGCTGCCTTGTGTCCTCCCCACAATTGCTGATACATCTGAGCTCTTTGATGCAGCCACGGGGTCAGTCTATCTTGTTGAGGATCTTCTCTGACTGACGATCAACAGCCTTGGAAACTCTATGGGCAGTTTCTCTCTGTTCTATAGAGTTGGTATGTGTCACAATTGATTCAGAGCCAGGGAGACAGTTTTTATTGAAAGGATCAAGCAACAGAAAACAGGCCCAGAAAGAAAATATTCCAGGGCTGGGTTGGAGAGTTTGAGATAGGAAGAAGCCATCAAACCTTGCTGAGGTCCATAAAGGGAGACAAAAGACACATGTTAGCAGTGATCACCTGGATCCACTGCAGTGGAAGTGGCAGGACTACAACAGCTGAGATGCAGGCTGAGTTTGGACATGTTCCTTCAGCGCTGTCCACCTAACATGCATAGATAGATGGATGGGCAACAGGGAAGAGTTGTTGGCTTGAGGAACACGGAGTCATGAAGAACTCTAGCTTGTTAACTTGACTCCTTGTAGAGGCTAGGAATGGGTGAAGGGACCAACAAACAGGTCTGGGATGCAGGGAGAAGTGTGGGCTCCTGAGTTTGTAGCTGATGCCCACAGATGGCTGTGGAGGAGTTGACCAGAACCCAATCAGATGAAAAGATGATCCATGCTGTGAGCTAGGGTTGATTGCTGCAACTTGAGGGCAGCTCAGGGCCGGACTTTGCTTGTGGATGCAGATACTCAAAGTTTGCCAGTTGAACGGGAGATTCTTCAGCTTGTTCTCCGAGGGGACTGGTTTGATAGGTAAGGACAAATCAGAAATTGGCTATCTAAAATGAGGATATATGAGGCATGACATAACTGGCTTACACACTTTCACAAATGTAGTTATTATAATATGGTTGTAAGGGAGAAAAAAAATCTACAGTAAACACAAATGAAATCTAATGTAAATGAAAGATTGTATAAAACACAATGTACATGCGTGAAGCACAATGTATATAAATGATAAAATTACAAGTAATAATTAAAAACTGCTTCCTTTAGATGGCCAACACACGCATGAAGAAATGCTCGAAATGACTGGCTATAAGAGAGATGCAAATCAAAACCACAATAAGATACCATCTCACCTCAGTAGCAGTGGCAAAATTTAAGAGGACTGCAAGTAATAGGTGTTGGAGAGGATGTGGTGAGATAGGAACTCTTATACACTGTTTGTGGGATTGTAAAATGATACAACCACTTTGAAAGTCAGTTTGGTGTTTCTTCAGAAAGTTTAACATGGGAATTGACCATTGCTTGGAATATACCCAAGAAAATTAGAACTAAGACACAAAGGGAGATTTGTACACGGATATTCATAGCAGTGTTATTCATCATCCCAAGAACATGGAAACAACCCAAATGTCCAACCACAATCGAATGGATGGAGAAATTATGGTACATTCACATGATGGACTTCTATGCAGCATGCAGGAGCAATGATTTTGTAAATCACCACATAAATTGGTAGGGACTGGAGAGCATTATGTTAAGTGAACTAACTCAGTCCCATGAGGACAAATCATATTTAAGACCATTATTGTAGAAACAGAAAGATAAAATGTATGTTAGGATCCAAGAAGGGAAGGGGAGGAGCAGAGGAGTGAGGATGGGCAGGGAGGGCATTCATAGGGTCACAGAGTTTGATGGGTGGAGGGAGGAGGAGTAAAGGAAATGAGAAAGATCTGGCCTGAAAAACAATTTATATGAACTTTGTAAGTAAACCAGTATAAAAGGAAAATTTTATGAGGGTTTTCTTTTTTTTTCTTAAAAAGTTATTTCCAGGAACAGAATGCTGAGACATAGGCCAGCCAATCAGAAGACGATAACCTTCTATAGCTCTATGTGATAGGCTGTTGTTGTTGTTGTTGTGTTATGTGCCATCGAGTCGCTTGTGATTCATAGCGACCCTATGTACAACATCCCTAAACTCTGCTCTGTCCTGTGCCAATCGCACCGTCTCCAACACACCCATCCCAATTACCCCAGTCACTGAATCAATCCACCTCATAGGGGACCTT